CTGGGAGTTTCCGAGCCAGCCGCATCCAACGTCCCAGAGATACAAGTTGATGTACAAGGTTAGGTAGCAGGACAGCCCATTCCTGCTGAAGCACCCGAAGCCAAACTCAATAGTAGTCGAGTTGTCCCAGGGTCAAGATAACAGGGAGCACTCGACTCTGAGAGACAAGTAAGGTCGGAAGATAGACCTGATGGCGCGCCACATTTACACAGCTATGGGGCTAGGCCTGCAGATATCTAACTACGAGGCAACGATGGCCAGGTATCAATACTTTATGATGCAACCTCTAGAATCCATCACCTCCACTATTCCAGAGCAGCAACGCAACCTGGCCCGCGTGTTTATCCGCGAGGCTATGCAACTAGCCATCCAACAGCTCAGTATGGTGCACCATCACATAGATTGTGACTCCCGAGCACTCATCGGATCCATCGCCTTACACCGGCACGTGTGGCTATGCTCCTGCAACTTCCCAGATGAGACAAAGAGGCGCATCGAAGGCATGCCTTTCAACGGTTCAGGTCTTTTTCATGACCGCATGGAACATAAGCTTGAGTACATTTACTCAAGCCACCACCTGGAAGATGGAGATACCAAATGTGAACCAACGTAAATGGCCGCAATCTCGCTATCATCAATACCAGCCGTACCACCATTATCAGCCATGCCAACAATATCAACCATGCCAGCAACGCAACCGAGGCCAACTTGCCACTCAGTTCCAGCAAGGTCAGGGCCGTCAACCCACCGACAAGTGGCAGCTTTGACAAGGCATGTGAGCTGATCTTCTCTCTTTCCATTCAACTTCCCCCCCTCCCCTTTGGGGACTGGCTGCAAGACCAACTCCCCATCTGGGAGTTCATCACATCTGATAAGTGGGTGCTTTCCATCATTGAGCCTGGATATAAAATCAAGTTTGATACTGTGCCCCCCCGGGACAGATCCGTTACACTTCCCCATCAGTGGTCCTGAGACAAAATCTCCCAATTACTTCGTAAAGGAGCGATTCGCCAAATCTCTTGCTCAGAGGGGCTTCATGGCTTCTACTCGAGATATTTTACGGTCCCAAAGCGGGACGGTGGTCTACGCCCTATACTCAATTTTATATCCGGGCTTATTCATGGTGTGAATAAGTTCATTAAGACTAAAAAATTCCGGATGACCACCCTTCAAAATATCCTCCCATTGCTCAGGAGGGAAGATTGGTTCGCCTCTCTGGACTTAAAGGATGCCTAGTTCCATATGAGCATCCACCCGTCTCACAGATGGCTTCTCCACTTCATGGTCGGCTCTGATATCTTTGAATATAACATCCTCCCTTTTGGACTAACTACGGTTCCACAAGTTTTCATGAAATGTATGGCACCTGTTTGCGCCCACCTCCGGTTACAGGGTGTCCAAATATACCCCTACCTAGATGATTGGCTGATTGTCTCCCCATCTCAAGAGCATCTGCTTTCAGCCGTTGACACTATGTGTAAACTTTAGACGAACTCGGGCTGTGTATTAATACCGAGAAATCCTGTCTTGCCCCCTCACAGGTCATCGACTTTATTGGAGCATGTCTCGACTCAATATGAGCCAGGGCGTTCCTGCCACGGGCTCGAATGGACAAGCTTCGATCATCGATTCAGCATATCCAAGATGGCCACCCAACTCCTGCGTTATCCATTCAGAAGCTCCTCAAGCACATGGCCTCAACAATTGCAGTCGTTCCCAACACCAGGCTCCGAGTGCGACCCCTGCAGCTGTGGTTCAACGGCCTCTTCCATCCACAGCACGCCTCTCCAAAGCATCCGCTGCTGCCACCTACCTTTGTTCACCAGACTTTGACTTGGTGGACGAACAAAGACAATCTCTCCATAGGCGTCCCATTCCAGCAACCGCAGCCCTCGGTGTCCCTCCATACCAATGCCTCCCTTATGGGATGGGGAGCTCATTGTGCCAGCCTGTGCACTCAGGGCATATGGCAAGCCCACGAGAAGACCAAGCACATCAATTACCTGGATCTGCTTGCAGTCTTCAAAGCTCTCCGATCCTTCGAGTCCACCCTTCAAAACCAAATAGTCCAAGTAGCCTAGGACAATGTCATGATGGTATTTTATGTCAACAAGCAGGGCGGTACGAGATCGGTACCATGGGCTCACCTAGCCCTGTGAATATGGGACTGGTATATCCGCAGGGGGATTACTCTACTAGCAGTCCATCTTGCGGGTATAGACAGCGAGGAAGCAGATACCCTCAGCAGGAAAATGTCCTCAACTCATGAGTGAGAGTTGGACAAGCAGGTCTGCAACAACATTTTCCTTCGCTGGGGCACCCCAACCATAGACCTGCTTGCTACAGCGACCAATTCGAGGTGCATGGATTACTGCTCCCGGGCAGGCATGGGCCCGAACTCACTGGGAGATGCCCTGATGGTGAGTTGGATGAACTTTTTCTTCTACACATTCCCTCCGATCCTGCTAATCACAAAGACCCTGGAAAAAATTGTCCACGACAAAGCCCAGGCAATTCTTGTTATGCCGTGGTGGTCACGCCAACCCTGGTTCCCAACCATCCTCAATCTCTCCCACCGAACCTTCGTCCGTCTACCACAAGTACCTCACCTAATTACACAGGAGAATGGGGCAATTCGCCATCCCGACCTCGATTCTCTCAACCTCACCGTGTGGCTCCTCCAATAACTGTTCCTTGTTCTTCGACTTCAGTCCCGACAACCTCATCAGTCCCAATGACTCCGATACTTCCCTCGGTACCGGAACAATGATCAATACCGACAGAGCCTACACACACCATATCGAATCCAAATCTTCTCCAGTTGGACATTGAATTCATTCTCCAATCTGCGCTACGACCAGCCACCTGCCGATCGTATGAGGTTAAATGGAAGCGTTTTACCACCTTTGTAGTGACCAACCAATTTCCTCCTCATTCAGCCTCAATTGACAATATTTTACTTTTTCTACTCTCCTTACATCAGCATGGACTTAAACCCACTTCTGTTAAAGTGTCCATCGCCGCAGTTTCTCATTTTCGTGGTCCGGTATCCGGCTCCTCCATTTTCTCACATGTTCTCATCTGTCGTTTCCTGAAGGGACTACAGAATCTCCAACCTCCAGTTTGCCCCGTGGTACTGACATGGAGCCTATCTGTTGTATTGCAAGCTCTTACCAGAGCCCTGTTTGAACCTTTGGCAACAACTGAATTACACCTGCTGTCCTGGAAAACCGCCTTTCTTGTTGCCATCACCTTGGCTAGAAGGGTGAGCAAACTCTGTGCTCTTTGTGTTGACCCGCCTTACCTTTTCATAAGGAAAAGGTAGTCCTTCGCAACTTTCCTCCCTAAAGTTGCTACACCTTTTCATGTCAATCCCGATGTACGTCGATGCCTGGCTTTCTATCGGTCCTGTACAGAGAACTTCAGAAAGGCCAAACGCCTCTTCGTTAAGTATTCCGAACTGGATAAGGGCTCTGCTATCTCCTCCCAAAGACTCTCCAGGTGGATCGTCTAAACCATTGAACTGGCATATCAATTGTCTAAGCTGGACCTCCCGGTCGTGCCCAAGGGCCATTCCACCAGAGCTGTGGCTGCCTCCTCGGCTTTTTCTGCTGGCATCCCACTGCCTGACATCTGCAAGGCAGGAACATGGATGACTCCCTGCACATTTACCAGGCATTATAGACTTGACGTGCATGCCAGACAGGACTGTTCCTTTGGTCATGCCGTCCTCTCCTCGATTCTCCACTGATAACACTATTCTGCCTCCAGTTGGTAAGCTTGCTAGTCACCCATAATGTGTGATGCACAGATGAAGAAAGGCAGGTTGCTTACCTGTAACTGTTGTTCTTCGAGTGGTCATCTGTGCATTCACACAACCCACCCACCAGCCCCACTCAGTGTCGGTGATTGGGGACAGGAAGTTCTTTTTCCTCCTTCTACGTAACTACTACATGTACATGCTTACTTCTTAGTTAGCTCCTCCTTTACTGGTGACATCTTGCACTAACCGCTTCTCCACCAGGGGGTGATCGGACGGTCTCCATAGACTGGGGAAAATGGCAGGTGCTCCGCCCTTTATAGCACTGTGGGGGAGGGGTGCAGAGTTCCCGCCAAAATCTGTTAAAGCTTTGTATTCTACCCGGCTACAGGCACTGCGCAGGCACAGCACCCATAATGTGTGAATGCTCAGATGACCACTCGAAGAACGACAGTTACAGGTAAGCAACCTGCCTTTATCCCTCAAATGGATGGTCTACCTTTTAATATAAATGGAATCAGGCTTCATTCTCAGGTCCTAATAGTAATACTAACTGCCAGTTTGCAGGTGCATCATGTTACAATGTCACTTCCCTCAGACACAGGCCTCCAGTAAAAAGCATACTTTTTTTCTTTTATTGTTAACCCCCTCAGAGTTTCAGTGGTTAAAACAAAACATCATTAAAAATTTACCTTTGTTTTTTCATAGAGGTACTATATGTCTGAATACCAGTGGTTGATGAACACTTAGTAGCAGTTTGTCTCCAACTCACAGGTTTTTCAATTAGTTTCTTGGAACCTAGAGACCAGCTAGCACTTCATGGGTATTTTATGTACTGTTTTCTTGTTCCATGGAGAGTTACAGTCTTTGCATGAGTTGGGAGAGTTGAATAAGCTGAAACCTGGAGGGATTCTTAGGAAAGAATATATAAGTGTGATTTCTTTAAAAGTGCTGGGGTATTGGAGTGAGTTGGAGGTGTGCCATGTTTAAGGTTACCATTCATCCACAGTTGTATTACACTACATTCAGCACTTGATTTTATACCTTCAGAATATAGAAGTTTGTGTAATTCCCCAATTTTACCAGTGGCCTAAAGTTTCTAGACTGGTATTATTATTAATTTCATTTCTGTGTTCTAGTTCTACCTCCTAAACATATGCAACACCCTAGCAAATAACAATGTAAAATAAATTTTTGGAATATGTTGTGTAGTAATCTGGATTTTTTCTTTTCTGTCCAGAATATAGAATTGCCCAAGGTGTCTTTGGTAAAGGGCCTGAGAAAAAGAAAATAAATGATAGAATTTTACTTGTAGATACTGTGACAAAAGAGCTACCCAACGATCCTAATCTGAAATTCCAGGATGAAGCTAACAAAATTATAACCCATGTCAGTTTTGCACCTCATCCAGGTAAGATTGTTTTTGAAGTGTTACCATGGCCTAGCCAAGATCCATGATAAACATATTGTGTGAAACTAATTGCATGGTTGCTATTCAAAACCAGCAGACACACGTCTGTCTCCTTCTCCATAATGTCATGTAGAACTGACTGCTGTATTGATGTGTCAGTGTTCTGCGTTTCTATACTGTCCATTTGAGGATGTGGAGCAGACCCAGGTAACTGTAGAAAGTGGTAATACTTGAGAGAATGCCTTTTCCATGATCAACCTGAGGTCAGAGGGCATGCTTCTGGTTGTTCTGTATGAGTAGATATCATGATTGGAATTCATCTGTCATGATCCAGTTGTCTCTGACAGCAGCAGGGGCCATACCAGCATTTACTTAATGATCTTTATTGCTAGTACACAAAGCCCTTCTGAGCATAGATGCAAAATGTTGAACCCTATCTACTGTTCATTATCCAAAGCTTCCCTTATAAATCCTTCTGTGTGCCAACCCGCACAGAAGCAGGCAGGTTGATGCTCCTCCTCCTTTGGACTAAACCTCCAGGTTGATGCCCATAGGCTCCCTGTTGGAGTAGCTGGCCATTTCAGCATCCTGCCCTGTGGGTCATACACTTTGCCCAGATTCAGTTTGCTCTGAGATCATCTCTATTTCTGCATTCCACCTTGGGGTAGTAACTATTCAACTTTTCTAGGGGTGTATTGCTGCGGTTGTTCAAGTGTACTTGTACTAATTTCTTCCTGTTGCAACATCTGTCTGGTCCCAAGATCTTGAGGCCCATCTTGAGGTTGGACTGTTTGATAAACAATCTCTCCTTCACCTTCAGAATCTGAATCCTCATGAGAACAGCCACTGTGTGCTTCAAAGCTCAGTACTTCACTGTTCTTGAGCATTGAGAAGACAAGTGTGGGTGACACCATCAGGAGATGATTTTTCAGTGTTGCAGCTTTGTTCATTTGGTAACCCATGCTTCTGAAAGTCAGGCGGGCACCAACATTGAGCTGTTTGTGGTGCCTCCTGAAAACATTATTATTTCAGGAAGTCTTGATTGGTAGAACAGCCACTGTAATTTTTTTCTGATTTTACTGATGTTCTGTTTTAATATAGGATTTAATTTTTTAATTTTTGTTCATCTTTTTATTGTTCAGTGTTCCAATATTTGTTTAAATGTGAAATTCTTGTTTGTTTAAATGTGAATTCTTGCAAGGAACTCCAAGTGGTTTACAATGTTCTCCTCTTTTTATCCATGCAACAACAGCTGTGGGAGGTAAGTTAGGCTGAGCATATGTGACTGGTCCAAAGTCACACAGAGAGCTCCATAGCTGAGTGGAAACTAGAACTCAAATCTCCTGAATCCCAGTCCAGCACACTACACTCATTTAGAGATAAGTGGTTAAACTCCAGGGCATGGGCAACAGATTGTTACAATAGGAACACCAGGATCAGGGCGCACAGGTGCAGGGTGTTCTGCAGCAGATTCAGGGCCAGAAGCAAGGGGCACATTGGTGTAACAATCCAAAGTTAAGCCAAGAAGGCAGAAGTTTCAAGAAATACAGTTCCAGGGTCAAGTTCCACAAAGACAACACATTCTAAAGCAGGGTAGTTCAGTACCTGAGAAGAGAGGGTCAGAGTGGAAACACAGACAGTCTGAGACAAGACACCAGGACAGCTCATGTTACTGATTTGTGCTGGTCTCTAGGCCCTCCAGCTGCATTGCATAATTGCTCTCAGCTGTTCCCTGCAAGTGCCTGCAAAGTTCTGCAGGCACTTGCAGGGTCACTCAGGCCCTGATCCTGACAACAGGGATGCTAGATAGATGGCTGAAGACATTTGACTCTTGTTTTATCCAGGCTAGCAATTGAATTCTTTTTGCTAGTACTGTGATATGTAAAAATTGCCGGTTGCAATGATTCCCCTCTTCTCTTTTTATTTGAAGAAGCTTTGGATTCTTCAAATTAAAGAAGAATTGCTATGGTATTTGAAGTGGTACTATTTTCTCCTCTTTCTTCTGTAAAGATTGTTGGTAATGCTGTTTTCTTTGCTGAGAGTAAAGCTGTGGCGGCTTCTTAGATTATGGAACTGAATGCCTAAAACAAATTTTGTGGTTAGAATGATTTGAAAAACTTTTGTTGCTGAATGCTGTCTAGACTAGATTCTTCTGTTTTTATGGTAATAGCACCACCTTGTGGATTTTTCTTATCTCCATTTGATCTTTAAGTATTTTTTTAACCAACTTTCAGTCCCCTTTTCAGTCCACCTCAGCAAAGGAGATGGTTTATCCTTTCTTTACTGAAGGCAAAGAATAGTACATTAATTCAGAAATAGTTGGCATGACTTTACTGTTTTCTTGGCACCAGCTCAAATGTCTGTTTTTCTGTGTATTTTACCTTCTTTGCTTGTCCTTTTTATTTATCCGCATGTAACCTTTCTTATATATCTGTATTATGTAATGCTATTGTTGTATTTTAAGTTTATAAGAATTCTGGGGTCTTACAGAAGGGTGGTTTAAATGTCTTTGTCATTTTCATCGCAACATATCTATTGTGTTTGTTTTATTTAATTAAAGCATTTCTGTCCTGCCCTTTACTGAGGTCTCAGGACAACAGTACAATAATTAAAAAGCAGCATCAATAAATTACAAAATAATATCCATATTAACATGTTACTTGAACTTTTGCCACAGATAATCTTCTGCCAATTCAACTGGAAAATAAATTGTATGTTCAGAGGAAGCTTTCTTGCCTTCGCCAATGCACTTTGAATTATGTGAATTTTTGGCATTGTTTACCTTGACCTCTCCAGTTAACTGCTTACCAGCACCATCTGACTCTTCCCATGGTTTTAGGCTTTCGCAAGTAAATTAAAATCAATTATGCTCAACCAGTTTTGTATTTCTCCTTTTGTAGGCCCACCAGGAATGAAAACAGGATCTAATTGGAAGGAACCAGATCAGGCAAAGGTAAAGCAAAGATCTAGGTTTCAACCTATACAGTGGAGAATATTTATAAAACATATCAGTTAGTTCTTTGTGGTCTCTGTGCATCATGTATATGAGCTGTGTGCCTGCATGGGGCCTGTTGTTGGGAAGATTATCCTAGCTAAACTCATTTTGGTGGGATCCATGCCCCTCCCCCCTAGTATAAGAGGGACTCCCACCATTTTCCCCAGTTTTCATGAAATCAATGTTTTAGCCTCAGAACTGGGGAAGAAAAACTGTTAACAGCCTGACCTGCACCTTCCTAGTATGGGTCTGAAGGGAAGAAGGTAAAGGAACAGAGGCTGTCAACACCAATGCAGGGCCAGATGATGAGTTCTGTGAATGCAGAGATGACCACTTGAAGAATGTCAGTTATAGGCAAGCATTCTTACTTTCTTCTTTGTGGTCTCTGTGCATCACACATATGGGTGACTAGCAAACTTACTTTGAAAAGGAGGAGGGACAGTACAGTCAGCAGAGGGCTGCCAAGAGGAGGCTCAGCTGAACAAGCAATCTTGCCTGGCATGAACATCAAGCTGGTAGTGCTGGACAAAAGTCAGTAGCGTGGACCACATCACCACTCTACAGAGGTCCTGTCGTGCTGGTGTGCAGTGCCATAGATGTTGCCTTTGTCCTGGTAGAATGTGCCCTCAGTCATTTTGGGTGGTGCAATCCATCCAGTTGGTAAGCCAGTTTAATGAGTGAGTGAGTTGTTGGGTACTAATAGGTTCACCTTTGGACCATTTGTCGTAAGCAACAAAAAGTCTCTGGGACTAGCAGAAGGATTCAGTATGTCAGTGCCCTGTGCATGTCCAGGGTATGCAGCACCAATTCTACAAGGGTGGATGGTGTGGGAAAGAATGGGGGCGCGTAACCATTCTAGCCCCAGCTGATGCTTTCCAAATGATGGACCATTGTGACCCCATGCTGAGGCTGCACACCTGGAGGGACTGCCATTCTGGCCTTGTATTGATTCTGCTCAAGAGAAAGGGAGGGAATGGCCATTCTACCCCTTTGTGTTGCTGCTCACCTGAAGGAAAGGGATTGGCCATTGTTACCCCGGTCTGATGCTTCCCAGCTGAATGAAGGGGACTGGCCATTGTGGCCTCCTACTGATGCTGCCAACCTGATGTGGAAGGACTGGCCCTTTTGACCTTCTGCTGATACTGCTCACCTAATGTAAGGTGACTGGCCATTGTAACCCTATGCTGATGCTGCCCACCTGAAGGGTAAGAATTTTCCATTGTGGCCTCATATTGAAGAAGAGGGACTGGCCACTGTGACACCCTGCTGATGCAGCCCATATGAAGATTCCTGAAGGGCAGGGACTGGTCATTGTGACCTCATGCAGATGCTTCCCACCTGAAGGATAGGAAGTGGCCTTTGAGACCCCCTCCTGCTAATACCCATCAGCCTAAGCATAAGGACTCATCTTTGTGGACTTGTGCTAATGCTCCCCACCTGAAAGATAGGAACTTTCCATTGTGGCCTCATATTGACAGTGCCCACCTGAAGAAGGCCACTCTCACACCCTGCTGATGCTGCCCATATGAAGATTCCTGAAGGGCAGGGACTGGCCATTGTGTCGGCATCTGGGACGAGGGCAGCTGACTAACAGGGTAAAGGCACTGGGACCCAGGCAGCAAGGGCATGGCAAGAGCAAGTCCAGTACTCAGGCCAAGGTCAAGCAGGATGTCAATATACTAGCCAAGTCCATAGAGATGGGTAGCATAGTCCAAAGTGAGCCAAGGGCCAGAGAATCAAGGAAGGTAGGCCAGCCAGGGAGAGAAGGGATGCAGGGGCAGAGTTTCAGGTCTAACAGACCAGGAAGAGCTTCACCAACAACAGGAGTCCTTTGTTGCCAAGGCAGCTTCTGAGAGGAAGAGCTGGTTCTTATATAGCTCCTCCTCAGGGCTTCCCAGGTGGAACTCATGAGGACCCTGCCAGCTGCAGTGGACTGAGATCAGAATCCTGCAACCACCAGAGCTGCTCTGCTGGCCTTTGGCCAGCAGAGGGAGCCCTGAAGCTGCCTCAGGTCTTGACACATTGTGACCTCACGCTGATGCTGCCCATCTGAAGAAGGAGGACTGGCCACTCTGATACCCTACTGATGCTGCCCATATGAAGATTCCTGAAGGGGAGGGACTGGCCATTGTGAGTTCATGCTGATGCTGCCCATCTTAAGCATATCTGTCCTGGTTTAGGTAGAATCACAATGCAACCTTTGGGATGAATGTGCAGTCTGGTCATCCTTATGAAAAATAAGTTACTCTGGATCAATACCCAGAGCACAAAGCCACTCACCTGTCAGGCAAAAGTGATAATCCCCAGAAAACAATTTTCCATGAAAGAAGGTGTGGGTCCACACTGGCCAAAGATTCAAAAGGAAGCTTTGGAAGAGTCTGAAAGACCACCAGCACACTCCATCTTAGTATGAAGGAACGGATGGGCAGGATCAGGTTGTGCAAACCTCTAAGGAACCAATGATACTTGAAGGTACAAAAAGAATGAGAAACCATTTCCTGGTTGTAATCTTATTACAGTGTTATGGAAGTCCATCATTGCTTCATTTTTCTGTACTGCATCAGTGTTTAAAATGTTTATGGGTGTACATATGCAGCATAATTTTAAAAACAAAACCAATCTCTGTTCCAGTAATCACCAAAGGTATGTATTTAAAAGGGCTATATGAAAATTAGGAAAGTGTTGCATATTATTCCAACAGAATTTAATAGTCTATAAAGGTTTAGTGGTGTGCTTGTTCATGGCTAGAAAGTGGCTTAGAAACACCTTGAATTTGAATCATTTTGCTTTTAATTAGGTTTTAGTTCTAAAATAGTGTAGGTAAATTGCAGACTAAGAGCCAATAGTATTGATCCAGCAAAGAAGTATGCTTGGGTTCCCTTGCTGAACTGGGAACTGTGTGTGCAAATTGGAACATCTGTAAATGTTGATGTACAAAACATCTATGGCACCCACCATGCATGATAGCTAAAATGCATTTTATTTCACAATGGAGATGGTGTGTACCTCCAGGTCACATTTTGTCAGTAGATGAGGACCTCCTACAATAATGAAGGGGCAGCTCACACATTTTTCTATCATTTGGCTCCCATATAGCCTTCATTATGTTCTTTGCTTGGTTTTAGCTCATGTGTTATATGTTTACTGTATTGAAGTCAAATCTTATTTATTTAAGGGCAAATCTCATGGAGTATCACAGTGGGAAAATAAAGTGCTATGTGAAGGAAAATCCATAGAACAGCTTTTAGATTTGGTTGACAAGCACTGGACTGGCAGCAAATCACTCCATAACAATGAGAAATTTTTATGTAAGTAAAAATGTGTGTCTTGATTAAGTGTTTCTCTTCAGTGGATTGATTCCTTCTCCCCTGCTAAATGACTCAGGTGTGCTCCTCTAGGTCAATGAATGGCCAAGTTACTCCTGCAAGCTCTGCAACAGGTTGGACAGGCAAGGCAACACTTTTCACATGACTGAGATAATCCTACTGCAAAGCTCAGTTCTTATTCTCCTGTTTGGTGTGAGAAGCTTCCAGGGTGACCTGTGCCACCTCCTGCTGCTTGGAAGGCACAAATCATGTGACCTAGGGTCTGTTGCTATCCTCTTCCCATGCTGCTCTTTCATCAATTTTTTTGGATTGCTGTCTGCTTTAAGTGCTTCTCCTCTATTCTTGTGGTTCAGGCTATTTCTTATGCCTGATCTTATTTTATACCAGGCTATTTCTTATACCTGATCTTATTTTGTTTTACAAGTTATGTTATTCTTTCCCTTCATTAAAAAAATCTGACTTTTCTCTGCTGGTCTGTTAGTGTCTGATGGTTCCCACTAGAAACACTCCTATCAAGCCTGATAAAAGAGCAAACACAGACTCATGAGGAAGCAAAGTGAAGCTCTTGCTTTGAGTCATCCCTCTGTGAGTGCACACAGATAAAGTAAGAGCTTTAGTTGTTCATTAGCAGACTTCTCTAATTACAGTTACCAACTGAAATTATTCAGGAGATACTCTCCAAATTGGATGACCAAGACTACTTAATGCTGCTCAAAGAGGCTCCCACTCTTATCAAAGGACTTATCAAAGTCCTTCTAAAGTCTTTGATAAGCAGAGACATTTCCTGGGGGAGACATTGAAAAATACTCATATCTTGTTCTTCTGAGGTAAGAGGAAGGGCACATGATCAGATCTCAAGCCAAGTTGCCCTCCAGTTTTTCAGTATCATGCTTCTGTGACATCTCCTCACCACTCAAGGGGAAAATGTTTTCTAAATCCAAAGACCTCCCCACTTACAATCTGGAGGTAGAGGCCATACTCATAGACCCTGATAACTGTGGAATAGTTACTCAGGACCCACCCTTGCATCCCCTCAGATCATGAGGAAAAGGCTTTAACATAGAGGATTTTTTCCTCAAAATCATACTGTTTAATAATGCTGACCTTAATTACACAAAGTTTTCTCTAGGTTTCTGCCCTCCTGGTTAGAATCCAGCACTGTGGGGAACATCTGTTTATCCAAGAAACCAAGCTCGCTCACAAACTTGTGCCTTTTGCAGTGACTTTTAATGATGTAATTAAATCAGAACGGACTGAACGAAATGTTTACACTAAAACAAAACATGCTGTGGAGGATCCTTAAGATTCTTTTACTGCACGCTGAGCCACCCTGGAGTCACTGGCCATAGTACTGAGGGATGGAGAGACTCCTTGAGGATCAAGGGTGGGAAAAGCTCATACCTAGTGAGGCAACTGTATTTGCCCTCTAAGCAGCTTCTATCTTACCCGTTTTTGACAGACCTTCCTTACTGCAACTGAAAGATTTGAATCAAGACCTCATACTATACTTAAGCCCCAAACTGCACAAGGCACTCCAAAAACATATGTGGGGATCAACCTTGCCTTAGTTCTCTTTAAAACAGTGTTTCCCAGACTGTGTAATTGTGAAGGCAGCAGGAAAGAGTATAAAATGAACACTTTTAGAGCAGGGGTTCCTAACCTTTTATGAACACATGCTATCATAGGGCACTTGCTCATTTATGAAATTCTGGCATGGTAGGCATAGGCAGTCAGAATAGGCTAATTTTCGACTTCTGGTTGGCGTCATGGCAAGATGGCTGTGAAGAACGGGGACTCCCGTAATCACGCCGGTAATTTGTTCAACAGTGAGCTGGGATAGGCTCATCCAAGCCCTTTCGGGGCAGGGATTAGAAGCCCGAGCATACTTCTGGTCAATGTGGGGTGGCGGCTCCACATTTACTGGGAGAAACTTGGGATTTTCTCAATCAAACAATACAGGGGAGAGATCAGCTCTCTGCAAGCCATAGATGAATGGATATAGCACAGAATAACAGCTTGAAGTTCATCAGATCTGCTGGGTGAACATTTCTACCTTTTCAATACTACCCATGAAAGAACTGAAGTGGATATTAATTGGGACAAAGAAGAAAGAAAAGTCCCTTTGATGGAGGGAGGAATTTCCCCTCCCCATATGGTGTTTAAGCGGCGATTAATCTAGGGGAGAGGAACTGAGGTTTTTTGAAAGTATGAGGCTGGAAAGAAAGATTTCTTTTTTCTAACCTCCCCAAGGGCGAAGAATCAGAATAAAATCTATTGTGGATTAAGTGATAGAAGGACAAGTTTTTTACTTAGGTTTGGTGAACGGCCATTTTCTTCTTTTAGTTTTCTTTGTGACATCATATAAAGACAAAATAACCATTTGCTGCCATCCTGTGGCTATTGGATTTATAACAAGTCTCTTTCCTTTTTTTTTCCTTTCTCTTCTCTTTTTTTTTTTTTTGTTGCTGCCTTGTAATTATTGGCAAAAAACTATTATCATTATGAAAAAAATACACTCTTCCTCCTCTTCAGCACCTGCATCAGCTGCTCAGAGTCCAACTCACCAGTCTAAAGCTGCAGATGCCGAAAAATATCTAAAAGACCTACAAATGACTCTCTTGGCGATACAAACATCACTAACAGCTCTGCAAGCATCCCAAGAGGCTATGCAAATTGCTATATCAAAATTAAGTTTGGAACAGAAGGATATTTTGGCAGAACAGAGGAACATGTCAACTGAGCAGAAAAACTTCGCAAATGAACAAAGGGAACGTCTTGACAAACTGGATAGCTCTCGTTAAGGAGGTATCAACTCAACCGGCGGATGTTCAACTTAAAACTGAACAGAATACACAAAAAATACAACAAGCGCATGAAAAACTTGAAACAGTAGACAAAGAAACACAATAAAGCAAACAAGTCATTATGGGATTCGCTTGCTATATTAGAGATGGAAAAGGCATCTAACTGTCTGAGATTTCAGAATATACCTGAAGGAAAGAATGAGGAATTACCGAAATTAATGATTATCATGTTGGCAGAGTCGTTGGATTTGGAATACAAAGAGGTGAATGCAGGGACTGACCTTGTTTACAGGGTGAATTCAATGCCAGAAAACATAACCTTCCGAGGGAAGTCCATGTTAAATTTACAAAAAGGTCTATAAGAGACAATGTTTTGAGGGCCCTACATGATAAACCTTTAAAGGCGGGTGGTCTTCATGAGGTGACTGTTTTGAAACAAATACCATGGAGGATTAGAGAAGGATGAAAGAAATATTTATTCCTTACTACAAAGCTGACTCAGAAAGAGATCATGTTTAGGTGGCTAATGCCAGAAGGAATATTTTTCACCTGGAACTCTACAAGATACAAGCTGGACTCAATCTTCAAGGCACAAGAGTTTTATGAAAAATTCAGAAGTACATTTGAAGAGTGCCCCAAAAGAAGAAGGGAAAGGTGCTGAACCAATGGATCTAACAACATACCACTCTGAAGAAGGAGAAATAGTGAATTCAGACTTACAACAAGAGGGACAGACACTGGAACCAAAGGAAAAGAAGAAAGGTAGAAGTGTAAAGGTGAAGTATAAGATAAATATATACTCTTAAAGTATAGCCTTTAAAAGGGAAGGAAAAATTGAACTGCTCTCTTCAAATGTAAATGGACTAAACGGACCCTCTAAGAGGAGAAGGATTCTCTCTCAACTTCAAAAATGAAAATTAGACATAATTTGCTTACAAGAAACACATATTAAGAAACAACATAGTAAGCTTTTGGAATGTTTAAAGCTTGGAAAGCTATTTATATCTTCTGCTTCTCAAAAGAAGAGAGGTTTAGCATTATACTTCAAGGAAAATTTTTGTTGTTGTTAGTCGCAAAGTTGTGTCTGACCCATCGCGACCCCATGGACAACATTCCTCCAGGCCTTCCTGTCCTCCACCATCCCCTGGAGTCCACTTAAGCTCACACCAACTGTGAGTGACTCCATCTAGCCCGTCATTCTCTGCCATCCCCTTCTTCTTTTGCCATCTATTGTTCCCAACATTAGGCTCTTCTCCAGGGAGTCCTTCCTTCTCATTAGGTGGCCAAAGTATTTGAAAGTTAAAATTAGACCCTAAATATATATTAGCTGATGAGGATGGTAGGATTCTGATGGTTGAAATCACAATGAAACTTAAAAAGGTGCTTTTAGTGGCAATCTATGCCCCAAACGACCATCAGGAAATGTTTTACCAAAAATTACATGCTCTACTCTTACAATTGGACTACCAGACTGTGTGTGTAATGGGAGACTTCAGTGCAATTGTGGATAAGAAAATGGACCATAAGAGTGAGATTAAGGGAAAAAAGGGCAGGAGGATACTCCCGAAGTCTTGTTCTAATATGATTGAAGAATTCAGATTGATAGATGTTTGGAGATATGAAAACCCAACCTCTGCTAAATATTCTTTTTATTCAAACAGACATAGGTCGTGGTCTAGAATTGATATGGTTTGGATAACCCCAGACTTAGTACCAGACTTGTTAGAAGCTGAAATAGAGGCATATGTCTGGGCAGTTCACAATCCTGTAGCTATATCACTGAAAGGGACAGTAATGACGCCCAGATGGAGCTTAAACAAAGCCTTATTAAAGGATAAAAAATTCACAGAAGAGATAAATAAGGATATGCAAATATTCTTTCAAATAAATAAAACTGAAGAAACCTCTTTGCAAAATGTCTGGGATACAGCCGAAGCCTGTATCCCAGGGGGGGTTGATAAACATATTCAGCAAATATAAACAAAAAGAAAAAACAACAATGAGCTAAAATAGTAGAGGAATTGATGAAATGGGAACAAGAATTACAGGAAGATCCATTCAAAAAAAACTTTAAGGTCCAAATGAATATTTTAAAACACAAACTGAATCTCCTGGACACAAATGAACTTACTAAGCAAATGAAATTAGCCAAACAGAACTTATTTGAAAATGCTAACA